GGATGAGATGTTTTTGTTCCTTCGTTTGGAATGTGGTGGGAGATGGCAATATTGTCTTTGGTGCTATGTTTAATATCAACAATAATATTTTTCCAAATGGAAACCTGTTTACACCTTAAAGATCTACAGAAGAATTCGATGAAGTAGTTGTCGACAACACCGGTGGAACGTTGATCCATAGGTCGCTGTGAGACAGGCTGAGGTGAGGCCATGGGTCATGGGGATAGCAGCAGTAGCAGAGGTGCAAGTGGAATGTTGAGCCCCGCCACAGAGCAAGCTAATCTTGTCACAGCCTCGGAGCAATTGATCGAACGACTGGCGGAGGTTGCTGGGATCACCTTTTCGGGTTTTGCCCTGCCTCGGGGACCCAATATTCCCCACTTTTAATGCGGGCGTCGACAGAGATCCTGTCCCTCCTCGTCCTCCGAGCATGTGCTCACCCATTCAATTCCCAACTCTTCTTCTCTCTTTTACATTTCCATCGTTCGAGCCATTGGAAAGCCATGTTCGTGTCAAACTTACTTCTCTCGTCCTGTTGCTCAGCCTTTTACCTTGGCGTACAGCTCAGTTCAATTTCGTCTCACCTCTCTCTCTCTCACTGTCTCCTCCCTTTTACTAATATGAACAATTATTAAGGGTCAGCTGATGGCGATTGCAAATGGAAGAGTTGTATCTCGTGGCCTGTTAAGTCAAAAGGCTCACATTGCTCTGTCAGAGAACTGCAGACTGGGATAAGCCTATATGTCGCGTCCCGCTCACACATCCCTACCCAGTTTCCATGGGCACCTCACTGGTCCACCAAGCATCACCGTTCTGGGAATATTTTAGGCATAGGAACTGTGTGCGGGGCTCTATAAAGATGTTTCACGTCTAAGACTTCTTTTTCTTGTTTCCTTCAAATAAGAGTAAAAGCAGATTAGCTTCTGAGCCCAAAACATACTATTTTCTTTCGCATGTTTCCTCAACACCCCTTCTTGCGGTTAATTCCTTGAATTCCACTGTTTATATGATAAGATGGCTGGGGATCCTTTTGAGTGGAGGTCTGAGAAAAAGATCATGGTGATGATTAGGTTATAAGAGTTTGGAGACCGTCACAAGCATTCTGATGGCCTGTGGACTGAACGGGACGAAGATGGGATAGGGATGTCAAAAAAAGCTGCAGAATTGTTGTTGTGTAGAATGACATGCAGTGCACCAGTTTGACCAGTAGTCAAATTTCGGCCAACTAAGCTCGGAAAGATGCCATCAGAGTTCCTTCGTACTTGCACGAATAACCACCACGGACATATTTTAGGCGCAAGGATGACGCGCGTGACTGCTCCTCTATCGGGCCTCCGCACGTAAGCGGCACGCACAGGCAAACGCGTGGAAACAGTGTCTCCGTTTGGGGCCAAGAAAATAGCTGTGCGAGAGAGAAAAGGCAGCGGGTCGGATTCGGAGCACATGAAAAGAATCCGATCCGGGAATTGGATTTCAAGTTGTATGGGCCTCGGACTCGGCCCAAAGGCTTACCTTATTATGGCACGGTTTATGTATGTATATATGATCTCAATCGATAATGTTTTAAGGTTGATACAACAAATATTTCCCACCAATCCAAGTCTGACATGTGGATTTTAAGTTAGACCAATCTTATTAATAGAATTAAATCTAAACACGAGATCACCCTCTCACATCGACGTCGATATACTAATTTAAGCATTGAAGGGATCTTCAACACTGATAGACTCTATCGAGAAGAAGAAGTTGTGAGTTTTCTATGTAATTTCATCGTCAATTTAGTAACCTCTTTTTTAGTCAAATCGATTTGAACATATTAGATTAATAATTAAAAAAATGAAATTAACACAGATCATGTCACACAAGTATCTTTAAATTCTTTATACATCATAATAAATTATTTATTGCATTTCATCATTTGACTGTAGAGGTCAAATGGATTGATCCTTTCGACGTCATGAGCCCTGACCTTGGTCCACTCTGTCGGCCATGACTAGTCATCAGATTGAGCATAAGTTCCGTGGCATTGCAGTCTCTTTTGGTGGCTGTTTGATATCATCATATCCATATGGTCCTTCGTTTCCTAATCCATTATCCTCTTAGAATGAAAGAGAATACTCATATGCAACTCAATGCTTGGTTGACTTAAATGCCTTCATGGATAAGGCTATACACTTCTTCTTGACTTCAGAATTATCTTATGCTGCTGACAAATCTTTCTTAACATCTTTGATCAGAAACAATGGCCCCATTCCTTCCTTATCAGACCACATCATCATGTGTTTTGCTTGTCCAGTAAAGATCAAGGTGGGCTGCCAATATATGTCCCATCTTTGGGTTATATAATATAAAATGTCATATTCCTGCATTCTGGATATGAACAGATCCTCTTGGAGTTCAAACAAAGAAGGTAAAGAATGATATAGGCATTCTCATGGAAAACTGTTCAAGGGCACATAATAATATTCATGAAGTTCCAAGTATTCACATTTTCTTTTCTGGTCATTTCTCACCTTATTAAACAAATGATTCATTGGTGATTGCCCAACTTGTTTGTACTCACTGTTTTCTAATTAAAATCTTACATATTGTTACTGGAGCTGATGAGTAAGAGCGTAACCTGTTCTTTCTACAGCATGAGAGAGAAAGCTGACAGCAACAGTTGGACCTATTCTTGCAAGATGCTTCTCAAAACCTGTGTCATGATCTCCATCTCAAACAAGTATGTCACGGGTCAAATTACTTATCCTGCTGGTAGTTGATGAAGGCTACGTTTGTAATAGAAATAGACAGAACCAAAAGCATTGGTCAACAGCAGATAGCTATGTTCCTATTCTTTTCTGCTTTACCTGCTGTTAGGAATGGAGGAGGACAGTGGAATCACAGATTAATATATGCATGATGAGTCAGGCAAACCGTTTGATTTGGACTCATGTTCAAGCACTATGAGCTTTATTCGAAGGTGTTCATCTAGCAATCAATAACAATTATGATCTGAAGAGATGCGATACGCATCTGCAGCAAGCCATGCATGAGATAGCTAGACACGTAGCTGGAGAGTTCTTCTTTTCCTCAAGTCCTTTTCGCCACCACTGCAATGAATGCAGCCATATAAATCCATACAGATAAGATCGATGATCTTAACAAAGGAATAACCCAACCAGCAGACGAACCTTATCTCTTGAGAGAGGATCCATCTGCACAAGAAATCGATCGGTAGCCATGTGGCACACACCATATCGATCAACAGTCTTCCTACAACTGATTGCAGCTTTTCCTTAGTCTGCTTGAACTTAAACACCTTTGTTACCGTAGTCCATATGCAATGAAAGAAGAGACAAACCAACCTTATCAACTACTACTGTCTGAAAACATGCTTTGTTCAGCTGAGCATTCAGTGAAAGCTCAGAGCAGGCATTTCCAGGTACAGCCATCGAAGCTCAAACTTAAAGCATTTAAGTAGACCTTAGCAACAAGGCTAATTCTAGATGCAATTAAATGCAGCAATCCCTTATACATCTCATCAACCCAACCAACGAAATAAATTGCAGGAATGGTAATGCGCAGCAACGTCAAACTCCTATTTAATCCTCTAATGGGTCGTCATCAGAAAGGCCAATCCTCTAAGCCGTTCACGTCCACGCAACTGTAACATTCACAGGCATAAACCCTAACATTAAGTTGCAATGGAATTTAGAGCAGCTAATGAAAATCGTCGGACGGCAACGTAGCCCCGACGCAATCTGTTTTTGTCACCCGCCATGAATGGCCCACTTCGTCGTTAGGCGTCCTCGAGGCCGGCACCGGCCCGCCCCGCGTCACCCGTCCCCCACCCCGTCGTGGCCCGAGGAGTCATACCCTGGGTGGGCATGGACTGCGAGCGTGAACGTCTTCGGACAGGAAGAGCGTTCGTTGGCGAACCAAGTCCTCCCACGTGTTCTCCGTGACGGTGCTGTCCGTACGATTGGTGCGCGAAGGGTGTTTGGTGTTCGGTCCGAGGAGGAGTGGCGCAACGCCGGCGGCAGAAGCGTGCAAGCAACGGCGTGAGGCTGCACGTAAAAGGACGCGGCCTTTTTCTAAAGAACGGGAGTGCGTGCGTGGAGGATTGGCACGAAGGTAGGTGGGTCCCACATTCGTTCGCCCACGGCCTTTCTTCTCTCTCTCTCT